GTTTCCTTGTTGTGAGCAGCCAGCAGCTTGCCAACACACACACACACACACACACACACACACACACACACACACACACACACACACACACACACGCGCGCACAGTGAGATGGACAGACCTTTCGCTTCTGTGAGAAAATAATCAAAAATGAGCTTTTAAGTAGCTCTGTGGTCGGCGTTGCCAATGTGAGCAGACTTTTAGTAAATTTGATGGATGAGGCAGCTTCACGCTTGAGAAAATGGAAGTCTTGATAAAACACATGAAACAGGGTTTCTTTCCGAGATGTCACATATTTCCCCAAAAATCACATCGTATAAATCAAAATGAATCCAAACCTCAAAAAGCCATCAGTCAAGATTTCAAAAACAAAGATATATATTTTACCCTCCAAAACAGAACGACATTGTGAGCGCAGGATGACTCATAGCTGTAATAGTAAGGCTTTAACAGCCTTTGATTTAATGCCAGCAGTCATTTTGTAATAGCGGGATTTATTTCTTCTTCTACTTTTTTTTTTTTATATGGTGTATGTTTCATTTTGGATTGAAACCCCTAATGTGCTATGAGAATAAGTATTAAGAAATGTGTTGAAAAGCTCCTTAAAATGTGTTTAATCCCTCTACTTTAATGCGTGGTTACAATTCTGTCAGCATTTGTGCGTCTGCACTGAGTGATCGTGCAGTCTACGGTGAAATTAAATTTCTCTCTGACCTGTCTTTTGTTGTTAACGCTGACACTAGATGTTACAGTGGGTAAGTTTTGGAGCGCACCGACTTATAAAAAATGCCATTCCAAGGGTGTGAGATGGTGTGGTTTTGCCAAAACCACTGAAATCTTTCACACATTATGCACTACCAGTGCATTATAATCCCCCAGCATCAGATGCTGCTGTTCTTTTGGCATCTGTGCCATGATGCAACGGGTTATTGATGATTGTAAGGGCCTTTGGTGTCACATTTAAATTGGTAGGCTTTTAGCTGCAGGGTTAATTTTGTCAAACCAAAACACAATCTTTTCCCAAACCCAACCGAGTAGCTTTTGTAAGCCAAACTAACAGCAGAAATTAAAATTAGGTGAAACAAAGCACGAAATGCAACACTGTGATTTATTACACCAGTGATTTATTGCACTTAAAAAACATTTAATGTGGACCTTTTAAAAGGGAAACTATATGCCCAACTGCACCCAAAACCCTTGTGCATCATGATGGAGCTCCAGTATCTGACACCCATCTGGTGTGAAATTATGTTGGCAGTGCAATATGTGTAAATGCATCTCATTCTGGTAACTTTTGCACTTGCATGCATTTGCCCCATCTGTTAACTCAGGGTGGAAAATTAATTTTCCCAGCAGGCTACATGAGAAACTGGGACTGTTGTGGAGGGCCACACCAATAAGCTTAAAAATGTATATTAAGCAAAAGTGAGATCAGCTTAATTTAGTTCAACAACTCCATTCTGCTTAGTATTAACTTTCTATCTTTATAAAGTGGGACTATTGTGGCGGGCCGCATCAATAGGATGAGCTCAATATTACTCCGTATTAATTTTATTTCTTTATAAGCTTACTGTTGCGGTTCTTCACAACCATCCCAGTTTCTCACCTCGTAAGAGCCAAGGACTGTTGTGGAGGACCACACCAATAAACTGAACTCAGTTTTGCTTAATATTCATTTGACCTCTGTGTTATTGGTGCAGCCCTACACAACAGTCCCAGTTTCAGGTGGAGATTGGCTCCAAAAACGAAAGAAATACTTAGGAAACAATAAAATCAAAGCAATCAATGTTTTCCAGAGACTGAGAAGTAATGCGTTTGGAGAAAACAAATTAAGAGACATTTTGCTTCTAACACTAAAAAACCTTTTTTAGATTATGGGTTTTTTTGTCAGAACTTTAAATGGTATTAAATTTAAGCAGGGGTATGTTAAATTTAGGGTTGCGCACAAATTACAAACTTGGATTCCACTTAGTCTGACCTCTTTCATACTCCCTTAATCACATGAACTACACCAGCCAATCTCTCGGTAGATAACTTCAGTCCAGCCTCAGTGAGTTTGTGTTTTCGGGAAGGTAGTTAACATTTTCACATTTTCACTACATCTGGCCTCGTCTGATCAGCATAAAACACCCAAAAAAGACAATGAAAGCACCAAGTATTTTTTGTTCCTGAAGAATATTACTAGGTTATCGAGAGATGTGGTGAAAAACAGCTTGGAGCAAGGTAGCAGAATAATTAATTTCTTCATGAATAAATATACATTTTTGGACTCTTTTGGCATAACTCGGTTCTTCTTATGTCCATGTTGATTTTCGTCCACCTTGTGCCAGTTCCCATCCCAGTGTTGCCCGTTTCCATTGCCTCAGAACGCCCATATACCATGACCTTAATGCCATGGAGTCACCAGAGACAATTTTTACTTGTGTTGACGTAACTTGGCTAACTTGATGTTGCCATGCGATCATTGGAAAAATCATGAAAAGCGCTGCAGTGCTCTACAAAGTCAAATAGCACTCACTGCAGGACTTTGAACAGGTTTGAAAGGTCAAAGGTTCTTCAGAAGAAGTTCAGATATCAAACAAACACAGCCCATAAACGACACAAAAATCACTTTCAGTAGCCACAGACAATTTGGTGGGTTTGGAAATGACCTTTCAAGTATTTATTTATTTATTTTTAGTTTGACTCGTCAGGTAAATGAAGCAGCAAGAAAGTAACGCAAACATGAAGTCAAACCAACACAAATATTTTTTTAAATAATATTACGCAAGCCATAAGACTGCATGCAGAGCAAACCTGAATGATTCAAAAGTATCATTTGGGTTTTACCAAACAACAGAGCCTTATTTATATTCAGCACCTCCTATTCAACCTTCCAAACTCTGACATCTGATTGTGTGACCAACAGGGAGAAGAGATTATGGACTGGTGGAGTAAGTTCTACGCATCGACTGGAGAGAAAAACAAGTGTGCGACTTATCTGGAGGAAGGCTTTGACACTCTCAAGGTAAGGATGTGTGTTAAGTGCTTGTAGGAAACAAATGTTGTTGTTTTTTTGTTTTTTCCTTAACTAAATGTATATATCTTTCAAATGAAGCTTGCAAATAATACATGTTACAACTAGATACAAGATTCTTATTAAGTTTGTCTAGTATGATGGGGGAATTCATATATTCGAACATGCAATTGGCTATATTCTTTAGGCCGCTGTGGCTCAAGTGGTAAGTTAATTTAAAGCATTAATTGTATCCATCTTTTACTGGTCCAGCCCTTTGCAGCAGCCCTACTTTTTCCATTTGATCCATGAGAAAATTAACCACCTAACCCTTTATTAACCTCTTAGCATCCAGGGGTGGACAATTCGTTTTCCCAAGAGAAAATGGGACAGTTGTGGACGGCTGCTTAATCAGTTAATAAATCTGAAATAACATTCGATTATTCTGACTCACATTTGACAAAATGTAAAGCTTCAAAGTTCCAGCTGTCTGAAGCATGAACCAACACCAATAATGTAACAGCTTGTAAGATAGCATTGGTTTAGTACTAAATTTAGTTTAAATGGGGAAGCTGATGGTGAGAGAAGTGTCTTCTTTATTCCTACAAGGCATATCTGAAGTTATTTTGAAGCAGATGTATGTAAATGAATTCGTTGAGCCATTGGTCAGCAGAACTCTGCCAAATCTGATAAAACCTTTGCACAAGGTTATGGTTTCACTTATGACTCAGTGTGCCAGCATGTTCAGTGTCTTTGGCTCATCACACCAGAGCACTAAGCAAATCATGTTATGGATACTGCTAATTTAGTACAATTATAAGTGCACTTACCTGAATAATTTTTGTATACACCTGCTGTCACAGAGTTTAAACTTTTTTCTAACCTCTGCTTTGTCAATGCATCAGTGCAACAACACTCCTGTAGCTTTTGGGCAGCTGTGGCTCAGGTGGTAGGTTAATGTAAAGGGTTAATGTGAAGTGCAGGCCATTTATCATCTATGAAGGACTATGGAATACAGCATTTTTCCATATGGGTAAGAGAGATGATCCAAATGCAGGACACTGCAGACTGAATATTAAGCAATAGGCAAGCCTTTAATGCAAACTATCAAAGAAAACTATCCTTCAAAGTTAAAACGTAAAACAATAAATAAGTAAATAACAGGAGATAATCAAAAGTCAAATACAAAATAGCCGAAAACAGTCAAAGGAGAAAAGAACCCAAGGAACATGACAAATTAAAAAATGTAATTGTTTCATTGTTTAATTGTCTTTGCGCTCTTTGGGGCTGCTTTCATGAGTAAATAATTTTATGCGACATGTGCATCTTGTAAAACTGCACTACATACTATTATTATTTGAGGAAATATGTAAGTTCTTGTGATATCTTTGTATTTCTATAATAGTATGAAATTCATGCACACATTCCCCATTTTTTCCTGTTAAGGCATATGTTAACTCACATTCCACAAAGTTTACTTATTGTATATGGTGTGGTTTCCTGGCCTTCAGAAATAAAAGATTAATAGACGCTAAAAGGTAATTGTCAGCTTTGAGCTGAAAGGTTTGCAGCTATTATTTTTATGATTTGTGTAGTTCCAGACCAAAAATAAAGATCATGTTCAATTACAAGAGTTTACCTATTTAATTTACATAGTATTTATTGTGTTTTTATTCTTTTTCATTAGTATTGTAAGTCACATAATAATTGG